CCTAGGAATTCTGTATTCTGATTAACCAATGGACTTATCCCCAAATGCCCTTGTTTTGTTATTAAATAACTATTTTTAAAACAAATTTTTTGAACAATTCTGTAGTTTTCTTTTTTTCTCTAGTCTTTCTAAGATCCTTTTATAACATCCAAATTGTTATTATCATTTAAAAATATAATACATTTAATTTATATGAATTATTTCATCATCGTAATTTGGGTTCAGTATAACTATTATATAATTTTTACTTAGGTTGATATCAACTCTTCTTTATTAAGATTAAGCAGTTTTCTCCAGTTTAAAATATTGATAAGGCTATTCTACTTATTTGAGTACCTTTACTATTAAATACTTCACTACTATCGTTCTAGATTTTCAAATTAGAAACTTGTTGTAATAATTGTTTTAAAGACAAAAATAGTCTTCAAATTTGAATTATATAGGTGGCATATCAAACACCTTCTTTTGTACTTAATTTTAAGCATAATTCGAAATATTAAATAGAACGATATTGAGATGATTAGTAAGGTTATTATTTTTTTTGCCTTTTATTAATCGATTACTTTTATCGAATTGCTTCTGTCTAGCTTTAATTAACAGTTTATTATTTTGTGTGTTAATCAAGTTAATAAAATATATATTTAAATCACTCGAGTTTATAATAAAGAAGGAGCCTCCGTATCTGAATTATTTCAAAATGTATTATCTACTTTTTAATGTTGTAATACTGTCTGTATCAATAAAACATTTCTATCAAATTGATTCACCCTGACGTTTACCTGCAAATGAGATAAAGTTATGCAAAACTACTATACATACGTGGCAAAGCTGATTGTTCAGTAATTTGCATTTCCGGTCACATGACTAATTATCAAGTGTCTAATTTGTATAACAATGAAATGAGAAATGTGATCGATAATATTTCAGAAGAGTGTTTGGCCTTGTCATACATTTGATATTACAAATTTTCATTCTTCTGTAATTGTGTTATGCGATGACACAAACCTTAACTGACACACACACTTAAATCTTTTCTGTTTATCATTTGTCAGTTTGTGTGCCAAGCTTACTTACTATTAAATTTTTCTTTTTTAAATTGCCCTCTAATAAATCCATTGTATACTTCATTCAGATGAGATGGTTTCCTGTTGCATCAAAGGATGCAGTTTGTTTTTCAACATAACCAAATCAGCATATAAAGTGAACATATTGTCATGGAAACCGAACGCGGGCATATTGTCATGGCAACCGAACGCGAATACAAAAAAACAAACAAACACGGATCTACAGACAGGCATGCCATTCACTGCGCCACGCCCGGCCTATTCCTCATATTACTTTAGTCTCAGAAAGATAAAAAATCAAAAATCAAATCTAATCTGGAGCAACAAACATTCGGAACACCTACAGATTTATGATTCGGGGAGTGGTGATTTAATTAAGTTGTGTGTATCTTCATAGCAACCACTGGTGTCTTTATACGTTTTATGAATAACTTATACCCTTTTTTCTTCATATATATTTTCATTAATTCTTGCTGGTTACAATGCAATGATTAAAATAATTTAGAATAACACTGTGAATTAATTTTACAATTATGAAGATTATTTTGGTATATGATTTTAAGAACAGCTTAAATATAAGCTGTCCGAACTTAGCGAGATAATTTTGGGATTACCGTATTTTTCGGAATATAAGACGTACCCCTATTTTGAAGACAAAGTTTTGGGGAAAAAAAGCTACAGTCACATTTGAAAGATTTTTATTGAACAAAAATTAAATTTGATACTTTAAAAATTAGTATATATATATTGTTCTAAACACAAAAGAACTCAAAACATCAAAATAAGAAAATTCCATAAATCAAAAAAAGGTTTACTGTTATTTAGTTTGGTTCAAAACCTACAAAATCTTCATTGCTTCCACTGTCGCTTGGAAAGGAGTCATTGGATCCAATATTATGGTCAAAGAGAATGTCAACCTCGGTCCCATCCGTTGCATTACTGATACCACATTTCTTAAATGACTTAATCACTATATCACTTCTTACTTTTTCCCACGAATTCTTCACCCACATCCAGATCTGAGCAAGCGTCGGTCTGTTCCTTCGTCCTGTAGGGGTCGTAGCAAAATCTTCCTGCTGCATCCAGTTGTTCCATTCCTCTCTCATGAAAGTCTTAAAGGGTTTGTGAATAGAAACATCGAGAGGTTGCAGTTGACTTGTTAAACCGCCGGATGTAACAGCCAGCTGTGTTTTTAGCTCATTAGATTTTTCCTTTATTTTTTCCATTTTATGAGCTCTAAAGGAATCCCCGACGAGGAGAGAAGGCTTTTTTAATAAGCCTCCTAGACGTTTCGACCAAATTTTTTTCCAACCAAAGTAGTGTTCCGTCTTCATCTCTCCATCCTTTTTCATGTACGTGAACGTAGACACCGCTGGGTAAATTTTCTTTGGGCATTGTTTTTCTTTTAAAAATTAACATTGGTGGTAATTTTATTCCATCTGCACAACATGCTAGCACCACTGTATAATGCGTTTCTTCGTGTCCAGTAGTCTTAACAGTAATAGTTTTAGTACCTTTTACATCAGTTGTTCTATTGCTTGGAACATCAAATGTTAAAGGTGTTTCATCCATGTTTGTTATTTGAGATAATTCAAATGGAGTTTTTTTCTTAACTGTATAATATACTTGTGAAAAGCACAAATTTTCATCTCAAACTCATCGGGCATTCTTTGAGCAATTTTCAGTTTAGTTCTCATAACTAGGCCTTTGCGTTTCATGAACCGATAACACCACGATGTATGACCAGTAACATCTTCTAAACTATTATCACATGCAATCCTCTTTGCTTTAAAAATTATCATATGTGTAGAAACGGATAGTCCTTGCCTTCTTTGATCCACAACCCATTCGTACAGTTTATTTTCAAGATCTTGCAATTTTGTTTTTTTTTCCCTCGGAAATTGCGTTTATCACTTTTAATCATTTTCAATTCTCTTCTTGTTTGCGCCAGCAACGAATCATTTTTTCTGTTGGTGGAGGACCAAAATATCTTTCGGCAGCTCTGTTTCCATGCTCTTTTGCATAAGTAATCACACTTAATTTAAATTTAGCTGTGTCTGACAGTCTATTTTCTTTAGACATCGTAAGGGGTGAAAAAATAGACCGAAAAATGAAGAAACAACTATTTTGCTCCCGAGGCCTAAGATACGGTACTTTGGCTTTCGGCGACGCATTCAACCTGACAGTAAGCACGTGCCAGACTGCCAAGTATCAAATGAAAAATGAATTACCGATTAGGCGATTACCGACGCTAATTGCATTAAGCGCTCTGATTGGTCAAGCGGATTGCACATTTGAATCCAAAGCAAGCACTCAAAAACGATTTTTTATTTGTTAAAGTTAGGTCTGAAACGGCCTTATTCTGCTTCACATTAAACAGGGATCGTCGTGTATTTACAAGCTTTTTCACTCTCATCCATTACTATAATTTATTTTTTATTATTTAGAGAGCATTATAAATAGTTATATTTTTAAAAGAAAAAAAACTACTATTGTTATAAATAACACATTCAATTGAACTAAACTATACATGCCTTTTCAAATATATTTACACATGGCTTGTGTGTATCGTATATATACATATATATTATTCATACCTTCGGTGTCTAGGACGCAAGCAGATTTTGACAACAAATTTAGGGGTAAAAAAGTGCGTCTTATACACCGTAAAATACGGTAAAGACGAAAAATATGTTTATTAGGGAGAGAGATGACTGGATTAATTTTAATCATTGTACGTTTATGTTTTATGGTGTATTGATTTATAAGGTTTAGTTTCCCTAGTCAGTTTGTTATAAAGGATTGTTTTCATCAATTAATCATTTACTTTTAAATTGCTTTAGGTCTGTTTGTTTGTTATGGATTTCGCTCAAAGCTACACGAGGGCTATCTGCGCTAGCCGCCCCTAATTTAGCAGTGTAACACTAAAGGGAAAGCAGCTAGTCATCACCACCCACCGCCAACTCTTGGATTACTCTTTTACCAACGAATAGTGGGATTGACCGTCACATATAACGCCCCCCACGGCTGAAAGAGCGAGCATATTTGGTGTGACGGTATATGTGGTTTATTCGTATAGTAATCAACGTTTAAGTCTGCGTATGTTGTAATAATCATATAATCTGTTCGTGTAACGACGATATCTCTAGCTTCAGACCGAATTAAAATAAAAATCAAACTTACTTAGGGTTATCTGCCAGCCCTAGGTTGACCCTAGGATTCGGGTAAAGCCATCCTTAATTTTGAACTACTGGCAATCACCCAACAGCACCTACCACCACAAGGCCTTTGTGTAATTATTTAAAATAATCAACGGGATTAAATGTCACTTTTGTAACGTTTCCACAAATGAAAGTCCGGAGTGTGTTCAGCGATATCGCGTCTCATACCTTGAACTATTTGATCTACGACCCGGCACGCTAATCTCTAATGTCAATCTTTAAGGTTCGTCCATAAGAAAGATAAAAATACTTAAGTCCATTTATATAGTGATATACCACTAATACCTATTAATGTAATAATTATATTATTAACATTCGTATAGATGGTATTGATAACACTAGTTACCATTAACGTAGTAATAGTAACACTAATATTCATTCATTTAATGGCATAACACATGGCACTAATTTTCATTCTATGGAAATCATAACGCTGAAGTCCCTCTGTGAGACGGAAGTAAGTTTACGGACTTACATTGCTAAAAATCCGGGGTTCGATTCTTCGCAGTGGACACAACAGATAGCTCAACGTGACTGACTTTGCTCTAAAACAAATAAAGTCAGAGTCAATACAGTCATAACACTAACGACTGGCCTGGCCTCAGACTGATCATAAAACTAACATATAACATATATTTTGTATAAGAATCGTAAACGATTAATTCTCATAAATTTAGCGGATGTAGCATTTTAATACCGATGCTTTTTATTTCAGAAATATATGAAACCTTTAAAAAGTCCAGAGAACGCGGGGATTGTGGATTCATATCTCGTCGATGAAATATTTCACCAAATACCGGAAATTCTCGTACATCACGAGAGTTTTCTGGAGATGCTTCGACAACGCCTGGCCAACTGGGATACCAAACAGAAAGTAGGAGACGTTTTTGTAGAAGCGGTGAGTAACTAAAATTTTACCGTGTGATGAAACAACTGATAAGATGTGTATTGTGAAATAGATGATATTTGAAGAAGCTAAAACTCTCAACTTGTGATCATACTTATACAAATAGCTCTGGTAATATCATCACAGCTATTTGTATAAGTATGATGACGGTTTATTGATGGTCTTTTGCATAATAAACTTGCATAAGAATCGAATGATATTGTTATGTCTTTGGTCGTTTGTTAATTACTCGTAAAAATTCTTTCCGAGAAACTTCAGCGATACAAGTTCTTTCTTAAATAAAACTAGTTTATTCTTTCTCAATTCAACTTTGCAAT